GTGTACAGAAAACATTAGTCCCACTTTACAGGATGAAAGCACTGAACGTTATCATACTGCTTCCACTTCTTACTTCCTTCTCTAGCAAAAATACATTGCAATACATTTTCTGTAACGTGGATAGCATGGGGCAAGAGCAAAGACTGCGAAACATCCCTTCCCCATCTCAGGGTAGGGGTAGGCACCACCGTACTGCTGACAGGCACATGGACGGATGGCTCCTCGCGATTTTATCGCGCAGCTTATCATGACTAAGCACACGGGTGCGAACCACTCAGGAACGGCAGGACCCACAATGCCGCTGTGCGAGCCGCAGCCCGGCGCTGTGCTTCCCGGCACGTACCCTGCTGCAAGGATGAGTCAAGGACAAGCACGCCCGGCCGCCCTCCTCGGGGGCTGCCGCGAAGCGTCCCCCCCCGCCCGGCTCCCTCCCACGCCGCGCTCCCGGCGAGGCACTGCAGGCCGCGGGCGCATGTGCCCAGCCCCGCCATCGGCCTCCGCCAGCGACAACCGGCCCCCCCTCCGGGCTCGGCCGGGAGGGCGCATCCCTCCCTCCCGCTCGCCCGCGGCGAGGCCCCGGCGCCGCAGCAGCGCCCGCTGAGGGAGGGAGGGAGGGAAGGAAGGAACCCGCCCTGCGCGGCCCCGGGCCCCGCACGCGGAAGCGCCCGGCCCGCCGCAGCCTGAGGGCCCGGCGGGCCGCGGCGGTCGCCGGGGCGGGCAGGGGCGGCTGCTGTCCCGCTCAGCCGCAGGGGAGGGCGGGCGGAGGCCGCCCAGCCTCACCTGAACTTCTGGAAGCGATCCTTGTCGGCCTCGAACAGCTGCCGCAGGACGAGCTTGGAGGAGTTCGCCTTGTGCCACTCCACCAGCTTCTTGAAATGGGGGTCGCCGGAGAGCGCCATGTTAGCCGCCAGGCAAGGCTGAGACAGACACTCTCGGCACACGGAAGCGAGTACAACGATCGCCGCCGCCTCCGCTTTTATAGCGGCGAATCGGCCTCCTGCCGCCGGCCCCGCCCCGGCCCAGCCCGGCCCCGGCCCCGGCCCCGGCCCCCGCTCCCTCCCCTTCGCAGGCCGCCGTGCCGGGCGGTGGGATTCCCTCAGCGCCGTGCCAGCGGGGAGGGAGGAGCGGCCAGCCCGCCTGCGGAGCTTGCGAGAGGGAGGCGGTGCCGGCCGGGGCTGCCCGCTTGTGTTGGGGCCCGCAGCGTTCGCAACGGTTGGAGGGGCAACGGTAGCGGCCGCCGCGGAGGGGTCGCCGGCCCTCTCGGCTGTGCAGCGCTCCGCGGCGGTAAACGCCGTGTTGCGGGGCAGAGCTGTTTCTCCGCCACGGGGCACCTGTGCGAGGCGGCGGGCGCCGGGCACCGGCGGGAGCCGAGCAGCGGATCGGCCTCGCCGGCCGCCTTGCTTGCTCGCTGTCCCGCGGTCAGCCGCCACTGCGGTGTCGGGGCCGCTGCTCCTGTCGGTGCACAGGGAGTTGACCAGGTTAAAAATAATGGCTCTTCTCTGGGTTCTTTTCATCCTGTGCCGGCCCCGCTGCCCGGTCCTGCGTGGCACAGCCCGGCTGAGGGGTGCGAAGGGCAGGGGGAGCATGCTGAGGGCAGCACGGTTTGCTCTGCGGTCCCAGCACCAGGCCTCAGGGCAGGGAGGTGGCTCCGGGCCCCAGCATGGCATCACCACCACCCTAAAACCTGTGCAAGACCTCTCAACCCTCCCAAAGGGGTGACCACCCTCATCACCATCATTCACCTGCTACTTCTGATGGCCCCTGCACAACATGTCGGCCGCTTGGGTTTGCGCTCTGCTAACCTTGGCTTACCCCTGGCCTTTACATAAGGAGCTTACAGGCCGGAGCTGCGCTGCTGGGCCTGGAGCCGGGCGGTGGCACGCTTGCTCTGTGGGCAGGCCAGGGCTGGCAGGTGAGCAGCTGCGCTGCTCTTCAGGGGGAAAAAAAGGTTGATCTGGGCATAAAGCAGCATGTTGTTTAAACATGGGTGTGTAAAGGAGTCTGTCAAATTCCAGAGATTGTAGTCTGCGCCTTAGGTGAATAAATCTCAGTGAAGTCATATTTTAAGCACCTAAGCCCCTTCATGGATCTGGGCCTGAATCAGAGTCACAGAGCATGAAGTTGGTTCAGATCACTAAAACCACAGCCCAAGTCTTAAGCAGCAGATTCATCATCTTTTCCTTGATGCAAACCAAAAAACATTCGTAATTGATCCTTAATTATATTAGCAAATGCGTACCTCCAGTATATTGATAATAGACTGTCTAAAAAAGGTCCTTCCTTACCTCACACTTGCTTGTTTCTAAGGTTTTCTTTTTCAGACTTAAAGTGTTTCATAGGCCAAAGCCTTTTTCTTCAGCAAAATAAATCTTAATCACTTGATACTCTTGTTTTGGTTTTTTTTTTGGTTTTTTACATTTTTGGAGGCCACTTATCCATGCCAATCATAGTTTTGGGCAATGTCTCAAAGACAGAGCTGCTTCCCTCACACTGCCTGAATCTACCTGACCGTCAATCAGTGCATACCTTCAAGTAAGGAAGGAAAATTAAATTACAAGTAACAATTGGACTATGGAGTTGATTCCACAAAGAAGAACACAATTGCCCAATAAGTCTTTAAGAAACCACTTAGGTCATCACGCATGCTGCCATGTAAACTTTACACATTTTCCTTCCTTTTCAAGGCATTTGGGATAAAACCCTCAGTAATCCTATACTCCTGTTCATAGACACACTGTAATGCATGATGTAAAGTTCTTTCGCTTAATAAATATCTCCTACTAGTCATAGGGAGAGAACAAATATTCTTTTTAAAATATTAACCTTACTGATAGCATTTGGTAGTCAGCCGTGAAATGCTTATGACTCACTTGACTGATTTTTCCCAAACCAGGGCAGATGGGATTTCATTAAAGTGGTGTCACCACATCCCTATCAAATCCAGTGATCCCTTACATATATTTTTTCTGCGTGTCTCTTCTGCCATTAGCAGTAGTCATTGTTCTCAAAGCACCTCCACCTCTTTCTACTGATTGCCTTCGAGCCAAAAGTCTGCCATGTATACAAAATTACATTCAGTTCTCTTGCAGGTCCTCCCAACTATCCTGTTGTCTTCTTAAAACAGTGATGATGTCTCAAATTTGCTTCTACTTTACCACTTTTATTATTTCAAAATCGGTAATTCCTCTGTCCTGCCTTTCACTGTAAAATTTGGGTGGTATCTGAGGTGTTACTCTCTTCATGTTCAGGATTTCACCACCTCTTGTTCCATGACCTGCTAAAATATCTTTCGATGATTCCTTCCTTAAATCCTCATTCATTACTATAGTTCTCTTTTCTGGCCACCTCACTTTTCCACTCCCTTTCCAAACTACTGAACCACAGTATATCTCTGTAGCTCAAACCAGGACACTTCTTACTGCTCTGATCATGTAGAAATCATGAATCTTGCAATTGTTCTTTTCCTTTTCATGTGAAATTTGAATCCCATGTCCTTATCTAGCACAACTGCCCAACTGTACCTCCATCCAAGTTTCAACACAGCTCTCTTCAATTTGGTTTCCCCTTTCCTGTCTTTTTTTTTTTTTTTACCATAGTCATTGCACTATTTGAATTGTCTCCAAATCCTCCAGATCTTAAACCATAAAGATCTTCAAATTTATCTGACCCAAACCCAAAGTCAGCAGTATTTTTTTTGCTTCATCTCTCAGATCTACAGGCATTCTCCTCATACATAACTGTATCTGTGAAAGAATGTATAGGCTCAAGTAATCAATAAGGTAACCAATAATGTATTAATTGTACTTTACAGTATGGACAAACTGTGACTGTAACATCACTGTCTTGCTGCTAATTCCACTCTCTAAAATGCTGATTTTGTTACCCATAACTAATGTACTTGCTGGTCACATAATGTAAATTCCATTTACTTTCTTTTGTAACACTTTATTCTAATATTTTTGAGATGTTCTCTCTCATTTCATTAACCTTAAATTTTATAAATGATCTGCCATTCATATTTCCTTTTCTTAGACCTCCTCCTTTGGTGCCAGCACTTTCTCACTTCCTCTCTTCTTTCCCAAGGACACAGGGTATACACACGTCAGAGAGTTCTAGAGTTCAAACTATTCCTGCAGCAGACTATGCAAATTTTATGACATATGAGAAAGATATCCAGGCCAAGGTCCTAGTTCTAATCTTTAAAGACCACAGGATAAGGACTGTCATTGTTCCAGGAGTTGCTTATCTCTCCATAAACTGTGCAACAGCTGACCACTACAGGGACAGTAAGGCCTTGTCTACATTGAAAAGACCAGTTGATTTCATTGTAGAAGGTAGAAGGAGGATTTGGACCTGGGAGGTTCAGCAGTGGAAACAGCTGTTTCTTTGACAGCTGAGAGCTGTCATACCAATTTCCCTCAAGATTAAGGCAGCTCTAACATAAATGGAAGCAATAATGTAGAGTCAAGGCAAAACATTACACTAATGGAAGACAGATAGGGTGAACATAGTGGTGCTTCAGGTCCTGCAAAATAACCAGCTGAAACACATTCCCATTCCAAAAAGGCCAAAGGCTATCATAGCAAGGGATGACACCCTTCAGGGCTGAAAAAGGGCATTTTAGTAAAGGATATTCTGTAACTGATGAAGATCAATTTTGTAACTGATAGGGTACAATGGTGGATTTACCATTTTACAAATGCCAGCCGCTATTAACAACAGCTGCACAATGACCTACTTACAAAAAAGACAAGTGAAAATTCCATTTTGGAAGACAGCTGCATAGAAATTAATATTTCCAAATGAATGTGGAGAGCCTAAATACTACTGCCTGAGGCACTTATGCCAGAAAGGTTAAGTGGCACGTTTAATAGATAATCTCTATGATTAATTTATCAGAAGGAACCAAGTGGCTAATTTCCCCTAATTGAAATTTTCTGGCATGATAAAAAATTTTCATATATAATTCCACTTCCATTTAAATCCATTGTCTAACTTATTTTATTGTATGAAAGCAAACAAAAGTACAGGCTTGAATCCTTCTTTCATTTTCCACTAATGAAACAAAATACTTGAGTGGCTGCAGAGGAAGTAGTGGAATGGATTCCTCTGAGGACTGATAATAAGAAATGGGACCATCTTTCAAATCCAATCCCAGATTTCAAATACAAAAAATGAACCAGATTTGCAGAGTGCTTCACAGCCATCAGCTTTTGGTTTTAGCAGTGGGAGAAACCTGAATGCACACTCACTACAGTGAATTGGGTGGAATAGGGGTCACTCAGATCAGCAAAGAAATGTACTTTTTCTGAGATTGGAGAGGGCTTCAGGAAAAAAGCACATAGCAATCTGAGGTCAGGACTGACTGTATCAATGTACTAATCCTGAAATATTTGAACTGATTGTCCATACCTACATTTTTAAGTATTTCTAATAAATTTAAGTGCCCTTATTTTTTAAGAAAGGAATAGCTCTCAAGGAGAGATAATCTTTTTACTCAGACTGTGGTAGATACAGACTTTTCAGATCTGACACAGAGGAGACTTCATGCTATGGTTAGAGAGGAAGAAATTACTCTGAATTTAATTTCACTAGGTAAATCAGTTAAACAGTTTGAAGGTAGAAGAAGGGTACCTGGCATCTGCAACGGTGGAAGAAACTTGCAAGGGGAGATATAATAGGGGTCTTATACAGAAGAGAGAACAGCAGTTACCCATTTCCTTTGGGTCATGAGGTAGCATGTGTGTGGAAAATATCAGTGTATTGTAAAATCAGTGTCTCCATTATATCCATGTTTTTTCTGCCCTGTCATTTTTGTTCCTGGGCTTGTATCTTCAGAATATGTTTAAGTCTTTCTTGATGGTCAGGACAGCAATCGCAGGTGGTGATTACTTTGTTTAAGGCTCCCACTTCTAATTCTTTCTATGTTTTATTGCTTCCCTATTGGCATTAATTTTTGCATGTAGTAATTGTTTGGCTGTAGTAAGTTCATATAGCCCTCATAAGGTCTTTTGGTTCATTAGATAAAACAAAATTTTGGAACGTTTATGTTTAGGAAACATGGATATTGATGGATCTTCTGCAGAGGTACCAGATGTTGAATCCACCGTCCAGATGCTTGGCACTCCTGAAACTTGCTGCAGAGCATCTCAGCTTGGCAGTGCTGAAAAAGTGAACCTCTTCATGGTTCTGTGAGGGTTTCCTAATGAGCCACTGGAACTGGAACTCCACACTCCTGTTTCCAGGTCTTGCACCGTATCTTCTGTACTAAAAAGTATTGCTGTTGATTAGATTCATGATGTGCAAACACTTCTTGGCTAGAAAGCAGAACTGTGTCTTTAATACGCTTTTTATCTGTTGCAGGTTTTAGAGGTTTTAAAACTCATGCAGAGAAATTTTCCACTCCCTTCTCTTTCCTGTTCAGAGGGCTGGGTGGATTCTTAAAAATTCCTGCTACAGACCTGCCTGGTCTTCCCAGACTTTGCCCTGGGTAGTAGCTTCAGATGTGGAAGAGAGTCTGAACAATTTGGTCCAGAGCTGGGAGCCAGAGGCCCGCTGTGCTGTCCAGCGAGTTCCCCAGCAATGCAGCAGTACAGGGCAAATGCCTTGCCAAGGAACCGCAGCCTCTCGGAAGCATGAAATAGTAATATACTACAGCAACTCAGTGTGGCAGTTCATCGCCCAGAGCTTTGTAGCAGTTCTGCAGCTTTGCTAAGGAGTTACCAACAGATGGCAATACTGCACTGAGTATTTGGTCTCCGTGTGGTCCTGTGGAATTTCCCCTGTCTTTACCAGGGAATTGCAAAATGGTAACTACCTTGTTTTAAACTCCTCTCATAATGATGGCACACAAACATAATCTTTCTGGAAAAGAAAAAAATATGAACATCACTTGTTTTGATAATGATACACAGGGGCAGTGCTTTTGAATGCCATCAGGGGTTGCCCACCTCTCTACCCACTGAAGGCAATGGGAAATTAAATAATTTCACTGGGGATTCTGTTATCAACATTTTAGAAATATGTCACCCTTAAAATACTAGAGATTTGTCCAAAATACCAAAATAAGCTTTTTTTTTTTTTTTATACATGTAAAATTCAAGTTTCAAAAGTTTGAAATGACATAAAATAAGGCATCTTTCTCCTTTTATGAAATAATAATGTGGGCCAAAACCCACAGGCATCCTCAGAACATAAATTGTAATCTAGTGGGAAAAAAATTTCCAATTATGTCGGGGGCACGGTCCATAATAGAGATATTTTCTGTAAGTTTCTTGTTATTTCAAATAGCTTTTTATCTATGAAAAATGAAGCCTGAGCATAAATGAGCATTAAGGTACCATATTTTAATTACTTGACATTCTAAAATAGCTAATGGCAATAAGAGTTTAAAACACAGGTAGGAAATGGGCTAACTTTCTCAGAGACAAAAATATTGTCACACTTGGGCTTTTTTTATATTAGAATTACATCAGCAATTTTACTAAGTAACATAATAGTTCTCTGTGTTTTAGTATATTTATTACTGATCTGGAAAGAAAGCAAAGATCTGAAAAGGGAACAGCAAAATCTGTAGATGACAGGTTATTTATATTAAGGTTACAGAGGTCTAGCAAGAACTTCAAAAGACCCAATTAGACAACATCATATGGGCAGAATGATGGCAAGCAAAACTCAATTCTGATAACTACAAAGTATCATGCTATGTAAAGGAAGAAGAGGCGTTATTTATGTGATTCGCAGCATTCTAAAAAAGTGTATCAGCTTAGAAAACAGACAGGTCATGTTTAGCTGTGGTCAAAACAAACAAAAATGGTGGGATGCATAAGGAAAGTGATAATAAGGTGAAGAATGTTAAGGGAAATCAATGTTGGTATCTTCACCTTGAAAAAAGTATGATGATACGGGCTGTGAAGATCTCGATAAAGAATATTGCAGGGCTAGATGAAATTAAAAGGAGGATGAGAAGAATGACCTGGGCCAGGGAAAAGGCAAACTGAAAGATGTTTGGTTTTTACCTTTAAAAAGAATCAGGCCTGAAAGGCCTGTGATTAAAAAACCTGTAAACATTACAGAATATTACAGGAAAGGTAGATTTTGAACTTCAGTTCTTGCTGTCCTATAACAGGAAAATAAGAGGAAATCTGTTGAGAAATGCAAAAATAACAATAATAATATAACATGAAAATATATTACAAAACTTATTGTTAACGGAAATCACTGAGACCAACAATTTCACAAGATTCAAAAAGAGATTCAGTGGTTAAATTGTTACCAGTAATACTCGAAAGTAGTGATTTATTTGAGTAAAAAACTGTGGGAAGTACATGAAAACGCCATGCTTCAGGTTTGTAAGATTCAAAACAGATGTAAGATTAAGTTGAGATCTAGTATGTACAGCAGATTATCTATCTAGTATGTACAGACCTATGGGTCTTCTACGCCTTCCTCCAAATCATCTGCCGATGGCTTCAGCTGGAAACAAGACAGGCTAAATGTATATGATCTGAACAATTCCTGTACCCTCCCTGTACAAAATTTCGATTGTGAGTCACATTCTGCAGTGATCATATCCTTTAATTATACTGAAATCACAAATAGATTTCAGCAAGCCTGTGTAGAGATGCATTTCAATAGACCTAACAGTGGCTTCCTAATTTGCACATTATTTACCCTAGTTATAGCAGGTAACTATATATTTATATATATATAAAAATATACTTTTCAGAAAATAAAAATTTATTTCTGAAAAAATATATCTATTGAAGTGATGCAAACCTTTACCTTCCTGCAAAACAGCCAACAGTGTCTCTGTTCTTTCCTTGAATATGCAACTGCTTCAAACCCTGAAGAACACTTCCTGGCTTCGTAGCTATCATACCTGGGCTCCCAAGTGTCCAACACAAAGCTTCAGGCTGCATTAACACCCCGCTTGGGGTACGACTGAAGTTGTTTGCAGTCTCTCCCAAAATTGTTCCTGCTCCTTTTGGGCTAACTTGGTGGAAGATCAATGGAGATCACTACTGCATAAGCAGTTAACATCTCTGAAATACCTGATAGGGAACACACATGGAGGAGAACCCCAATGTCATCCTTTCTGAAGAATCAAATATTTCCATGCTCCAGTTATCAGCCCACAAAATGACTGCAATGCTAACACTTTACATGAATGGTAACTAGTTAATTAACATTTCTTAAAGTCCTGAAACCTCAAATTAATAGTGCTCTGCAGTATAAAGACATAATATTATTTCATTGGGCATTTGTCATTTAAAAAGCTCTATGCCTAAAGCTTTAATCAAACTCTGTAAGATGAGAGCAATTTCCTTTTTGTCACATTTGGGTCTCTTGTCTCTGCTAAGATGCATGGGTAGTTAAACTATGTATTTCTTTTGAGAGTAGCACTGTTACTACTGTTTATATGATCATGTAAGCCAAACCCAACAGTAGAATCCTACTCTTGAGAGAGGTGTATAGTTGTTTTAAGAGTTATTTTTAGAAGATATATTTCCTGAATTTATGAACTGTATCACTTTTTTAATTATTATTTTTATTCATTTACACACTATATCACTTTGATTAGCACAGAAAGTCTCCTCTTCAGTTAACTACCGTTCTGCTAAAGCTACCAAGTCAGTGTCTCCAAAAAGTCTTAGTTCTAACAATGACCATTATATTTTTTTATTTGAAACAATTACTGGCTACCAGATTTAAATCTGTTTTGGTAGCATAGGAATACATTAATCTTGGGTACAATTTCTCTATTTGCAATGGATTTTAACAAGGCAAGAAATTAAATTATAATTTACCATTATATCAAATATTACAGAAAGCAAGGATATTCTTTTGAATAATGAGCAAAGGACTATGAATTTTTGGTACTGTCCACTGCTACAGAAATCAGAGCTTTTAACAGTGGTCAAGGACACTTACATGAATAATACACAATCACTTCAGGTATATATGTGTGACTTGAGGCTAAAATTTCATGCCCAATGGGCAATTGTGCTATAAACATTAATATAGGAACACAACTGAAAATGTTGAGACACCAATGACTTCAATGGCAATAAAATCAGGCCCCATGCAATAGTTGTTTCAAGCTGCAGATGACACTATGGAGCATCAGACTGCTTACTTGGACTCCAGTTTAATATCCATGCAAAAATCTTCCTCTTTTCCAAAAGACCTCTCACAAAAAAATACACAGCAGAAGACTGTTATTCAAGCCTCATCATCTGGCTTAGCACACAGCATCAAGAACATTATTGTGTGTACAGAACAAGCAGCAACGAAGTCTGAGGCTGAGGGCATGGGGCACTGCCCCTTTCAAAAGCAGATGAGATTTTTGCTCAATCATTAAGACTGCCTGGTGATGGCCTGCAGTCACCCAGGTTCCAGGGGCTACACAAAAGCAGCTCTGAGCACACGTATACTTTTGTGTATTCTGGGAAGCCAAAGTATGCAGAAAGCTTTTTCTGCTTTTTTTTTTTTGTGTAACCAATACTGACAGGTAAATTCTTTCTGAGGTATTTTACATGTATAAACTCCAGCCAGTCTCTTGCAATTCGGTGTGTGTTCACCTTTACAAACAGAGAAGATGAAATAAGGTTTTTACTTTGAAAGGTTACTGGAACAACAGCAACAGTGCCTCCTCTGATTTTTATATTACATTCAGGTAAAAATTTCAATAAAGATCTATCTATTTACTACTTGTCAGCCTGAGCCATTTAATATTAAAAGTTACTATTGCTGACATCAATAAGAAAATGAATAGAAATTCAAGAAGCACAATTACTAATTCTGCTAATGCTGCAATGCCCAGGAAGCTTACTCTTTCATAACTGCATTAGTTGTATCACACAAATAAGATGAACATGCCGGAAAAATATTAATCCAAAAAGAAAGCAAGCAGATTTTTTTTTTCATGTAGGATGGTAGTGAAGTTGTTTAATAATGTATTCTTTTTTGACTATATTCACAGTAAGAGCACTTGCCAAGTTCACAGAGGAAATCACTGTGCAAGCCTGGTTTGCAGGTCTTTGACCCAGTCATTGTTGTCTCTTGTTTTTATAAGGTGAGCCAATCAGGTAAAATATGGTTCCACTGAAAACAATGTGAAATTCATTTTGATGTTAGTGTCAGTTATGTCAGTTCCTATAACTATTACTTCTTCAGGTAATTGTTATTTATTACACATTATATTAGCATTAATTAGCTATTAATTAATATAATTATGTGTAATTATAATTATATAAATATTACATGTTACTTATTTTGAACATATACAATAAAGAGGAAAGGTCTTAAAACATATTTAGAGTAAATGCTACATATTTCCAGATTAAAAGTACTTTTCACGATATAAATTATTTAATACAGACATTTAAATTACTTTGGTTTCTAGAAAAATACATTTTTTGCAGTAATAGATTCTGATCTACTGTTCACACAAAGATTGCGGCTCATCTTAAAGCAGTAGAACCAAGCTCTCAGGATACGTTCTTCAAACTATGCTTACTAATTCAAATGTTCATCATTGCTGCAGTGAATAGCATACATGTCTGAGGATTAGGAATTTGCAGTATCAAAGAGGAGGTGACTAACTGTTTTGGTCATGTGCATATTAATTCAAAGTTCTAGCAAGTTCCCTATGTATACTTTTTCAATTGCAAGTCGAGTCCCTAATGGGAAGCAAAGATGGCTTTAAAGTACCATTCACATGTAATTCTTGGCAGCTGACCCACTAAAGCAGAGTTTTGAGACTTGTGCTTTGCACTGCTATAATTTCTGTGACTAGTTTCCTTCCTCTCCTCTCAGTGGGGCTTCTGCTGGGAATGTAACACACATCACTGGAGTAAGCAAAGATGTGCCAGTCTGCATCTGCTACAAAGCAGCCTAAAAATAAAACCCGATTGGACAATGCCATTTGGTGTACAGCAGCACATAGACTAGTAACGTAAACCAGGCTGTCAGCAAAGATAAATGATTGTTCAGCTACATGCCAAACAAATCTCTGGGTCTTAAAAAAAACCCAGAAACAATCTTTTGATATTTATCAACTTAATCTCTCAAGATTTATTATCATTGCAATTTCATGAATTTGCATCAGTGAAAGCATAATGAGAATGTCTCATCAAAATTTACTAATAATATTTTAAGAAATCAGTCCATCTTGCAGCTTGTTTCAGTTCAAGGAGGTTGTCTGGTAATGTAGATTTTGTTTTAGATGATGTCTACTCTTCAGGTTGACATTTTTTCCTGTGCATATCATATGAGCCCAATTCTTTTGCCAGTATCTCTAAAATCTCAGTTCTGGAGACAATCTTTTCAAAATGATCTACATGTTAATGTTGTTCTTTCTACAGATTCTGTCTGAAATACCTGCCTGTATTTTTTTGCTTGTGTGTATTATCAGACTCCTTGAATTTAAAAGGGTATGGTCATACAGAGGGCACAAATGACTACAATGCAAATAATCACAGGCTCTTAAATTACAGACATATCTTTGTACCTCATTCTTCATGGTACCATACAATTTTGCACTGGGAGAACTCTCCAGATCTGTGCATTTTTGAGGTTTTCAAATTCCTATTGAATTGGATTTTGAGGATATTTATAAATACTATTCTTAATTAATAAACTGCTGACCTTGAAACAAATGCCCACATTTATTTTATGTAAAGTGGAAGTGCAATTAGACACAGAATGGAATCATATTAACCGCAGGTTCTGGACCTTCAGTGAGATCTATGTGTAAATGATTCTCACTGCAAGACCAGCACCATGATTTTTAAAATCATTAAGTAAAAACATGACCAAAGCTAACAGGCTCTAAATATTTTTTGTTACTGCTACAACAGTTACGGCTGGAAATCCCCAAATTACATATATACCATTGTACAGCCAGAGAAATAAGCTTTACAAAGATTGCTGTTTGTATATTTTCAGAAAAATGATTACACGCTTTTAAAAACATAGGGTATAAAACCACTGCAGATTGAACTTCATTCTTATTATGGTCTGCGCTGGTTTGCCAATTCTACATGCACAAAAACCACAAGAGAGAGTGTCCCAAAGTATTATGAGCTTGATTTTCTCAGGAAACCACCATTCCTAGAATTGTGAGATGAAGCAAAACATGAAGTTACATGGAACTTGCAATCAGAAGGCCAAAATTAGCAACTCTGAAGACTGCCAGTATGTTATTTAATCCATACAAGGAGAAAACCACAACTCTTGTCAGGGACAAATGTGTCTAATCCCCAAATCCTACTTTTCTGAAACCATTATTGGGTCACCCTGCGTACATAGTCAAGTGTTTGTTCATTGGCACAGGGGTCAGTTTCTCATGTTTGTGGGCAACTATTCCAAGAAACAGCAAATCATGTTATTTCAACAACTCTATGGATTATTTGTTCTTTAGAAACAATATTGAGTAGATTGGAGGATAGATGTGCATGTGGTACATTTTAATTTAAGAACACAATAGAAGTTTTTCACTACTTTTATGATTATTATCTGATACAGTCTCTATGACAGGACAGAATTGTCACCAAATTTGTACAAAAGAGAAAACTTAGATCTGCATTGTGTCTCCAACTCAGAACGCTATTTATAAGCCCTGATGCTACTGCAGTTTATTTACCATCTTCTTCTATTTGTAGACTTCGCTATGGTGAAAAACAAAGACAAATAGGATAAGTCAACTCTGTGTATTTATCATATCAATCTTCGTAAAAACAGGCAATCAATCTATCTCTCACAATATCTGTGGTAACAATTATAGATAAGACAAATGTGCATATGTATCTGTGCATATGCATATGCATTTCTTGGAATGTTTTAAGGTTGTCTTTGAGCTGGATGAAAAATGATTATAGCTAGCCTTAGTGAAATATCAAAAATGAAGGGCTTATCATTCTATATTACCTTTATTTCATATGGTGGCAGCATGTATTTAGCTTACTTAGAGGAAGTTAAGCATAAGCTACTTTACTGTGATAAATTCACAATAGGTTCCCTTACTAATTACTTCCCTTACTAATTAGTT